TCTTTGCGCTGGACCCACATCAGAATCAGAACATAACGTTACTAAAACTTGTGGAAAGCTCTAATTTTACTTGTTCCTCCAGGCTAGCTAACAATTTAGTTTCAAACATGGGCAAATATGCTTAGAGGAACTCTGAGTCATCAGTCTAGATAGACAAACCTGCATTGTTAGCTCTTAACAGCAAGCTTTCAGTGGGGAAGTCTCAGTAACACAGCACACTCCAGACAAACAACCATGCACTCCTACACTATATTGCTCACCCTGTCTTGTTAGAGCAGCTAAAGGCTAACCGTAGATTGCAACTGAGTCTATTACAGCCTTACAGGCTAGCAGTTTAACACCCTGCTGTTTCTGCTACTGTGTTTATGGTTACAAGCTTTCCCCATTACAATTCTTCACATACAACACTGAATGTTTAATTTTAATAGTACCAGGGAGGCCACGTTGCTGATCTTGAGACATCATGAAAAGCTATGTACTAACACAACCTTCCCTCCTTCAAATGCCAAAAATAGACTTCAGATCACCAAGATCTGAAGATGATCACTGATTTCAGAAGATGAAACACTTACGCAGCCAGAAGAATTGCCGCTGTTCCTACAAGCTGTAACTTTCCTCTGAGAACAGACATGCAGGAAAGGAACCTGTCCAGGAAGTTCACTGCCAAGTACAAAGTCTCTGTCCGAAGTTTATACTCTTCCCCTACTTCCACCAACCAGTCTACCAGGATAGCACGCATTCCTGTTGTGATATCTGGCTGCTTCTTCATGTAGTAGGGCTTGGGCCGAAATCTTACCTGTTTGGAAAGAGTTGAAGAATCAGGATGATCACTCTGAAGAGAGCCATGGATGGCTGAGCCAATGGATATTCTTTATACTTGCACTAAAATGAGTGGGGGTTGTCCCCACTGTTAATAACTATAAATACTAACTACAATTATTGTGCTACTGGTAATTATTCCCAGCTAGTGGCATCTCTAGAAATTAGTATTTCTACACTGTAAAGACAGATTGAAGCTACAGTGTTAGCTGGAAAATAGTAAAAAACTTCCTGGGCTATGGACAGCCTTTGCCATCAAACAACTGATCCATTCAGGAGGACATGAAAATCAGATTTCCCCCTTTTTCCCATCAGGAGGCTGTACTTCATTGCTCTAACACAAGCAGGTAGGAAAAACTACTGCTATAGCCAGAAAGCAATCAGTGAGATCATGTCAAACTGCTTTACCATTTTTTCAGCATTCTACACCCATCTGCAGGAATTCTTCATACCAGTCAAGAGATGCTCCCATCATAGGAAATACCAGGGATGCATTAATTCTAAAAGACCTTATCACTGACTACATGCTGCCTTAAGAAATTACTTTTACTATTTACTTCCTATTCTTTGTAGTCCTGTGGCAGCCTTGGATCTCTGCAATACTGCAGCCTACCACAGATACCTACAAGCTTCTCACAGCAACTTACTTCAGCCTCTCGGAGGTACTGATGAATGTCTTCTGCATACTCTCCCACAGCCAGAGTTACAACATCTTCCATGTGATCCTCTGGCTGGGATTGGAAGGATGTGTCCACTACCATAGGAGAGCCTAACAGGTAACAGGAAGCAGCAAGATGTTTGCAAAATTAATCTCTTGACTTTCTCTTGCTAATTTGAGCTTAGAAGTGTTTCCCCTCATGTAGACACAATCCAAGTTAGCTTGTAGTGTTATTTATTGCAACATAAGCAACTCACTAGCTTACAATTCACAACTCATAACCACTCTACATGTGGTTGTGCTATGGAAACCATCTGAGTAGCAACAGGAGTTACCTGAACTCAGATCCAGCAGCAGGTGAATACTGGATGTCATTGCGCTGGTATCCAGTTCACATTGGCTTAATTCCAGCTCTTCAGACACTTGGCAGCTGTAGTTTTCTTTATCTTCTGGGTCATCTACGTAGATAGCAAAACCTTGCTTTGATACAGCACTGACCATGTAGTTGGGCACTTCATCTTTTCTAGATGAAGGGATGGTGTTTTCAAAGCCAGAGAAGCGCTTGATAACAGCAGCACCCTAAATCAGAGCACATGGTAACACTGTGGGAGGGCAACTCAGGAAGAAAACAGAAAGTGCCACTTGTCAAAAATCGCGTTCCTTGTGTAACAGACACCAATAGCCAAAGTTCATGGGAAAAGCCACCAATTACATTTGGTGCCTCTGAACTTGGTGCCACTTGTTGCTGTCTTGCTGTGACAGACTCCTCACAGAAAGAACTATGTGTAGAAAAAATCAGGAAACCATGAGAGCAGCATCATATTCAGTGTCTCCCACCAAGGAGGATGAGGGTGCTGCTCAGTTCCAATGGGGCTGGGATGTGCAGTCTGCT